ACTATCTCACCTTTTTTGGTTATTTTTCCTACGTATTTTACGCATTTCAAATTTTTGTATCTTCTACATTCAAACTGTTATTTCTCTGCGGTTTTTGACCTAGAGAGATGCCAATGGTCTCTATGGCTTTCTTATGATGCCACCTATATGATTTTCACAAAAACTCGATTTTCATCATCTTCACCCTAAGGTTGGTTATCCTATAGCGCCTCACATCACATATGAATCATCGTCCTCAAAGTTGGTAGACTCGGCATTCGTGATTCAAATTTTTAAATTCATAACAAAATTTCGATTTTTGAATTTCGAAGGAAATCGAATAATTTTTTCAAAAATTTTGCCCATTCCTGGAAGTGGAATTGAGGTACGGCTCGGTACAGTAGCTCTACCTACTGGGAATTTACGAGACGAGTAACATTCCAAAAACCTACCTTGAAAACAAAATGACCATGGAAACGTGGTGCTACCTTGCTACCGCGCCGCACATCGTCCTTCCCACATGCACACCGTGAAAGCAATAATTTTATCGAATATCGAGTGTCATTCATTTTTGCGAGAAATAAAATCAATATCTATTGTGTATGGTGGAATTTTACAAATTTCGCCTTTAATTACGTGACATCAATCCACACACACTGTCGATGTAAGTATTTTAATCGCTAATTTGCTTCTCAACCACCGGTCATCGGATTGACGTTTTTCTCGGCGAAGACTTGTCATTATGCCATGGTTTAACCTCAAAATTCTGCGTACCAACTACTAATAACATCCTTCTTTGATCCCTCCAGATGCAGATTTTCGTGAAAACGTTGACTGGTAAAACCATTACCCTCGAAGTCGAACCGTCAGACACTATAGAAAATGTTAAAGCTAAGATCCAAGATAAGGAAGGCATTCCGCCTGATCAGCAACGTCTAATCTTTGCTGGAAAGCAATTGGAAGATGGTCGAACCTTGTCCGACTACAATATTCAAAAAGGTATCAAATATTCTCGTGTTGTATCGTAAAATCATATTTTGTGTCCAGTACAATCAAGTTTGATAACTATTTCGCTCAGTAGATTGGTGAACGTTCCTTCTGAATGAATCTGTTCTACTTAAGCTTAGATTCCTACATGAATATGTTCTTGTTCTCTGCTTGTTCTTTCAACTTGAATGAAGACATTGGTAAATTATATCATTTGCCCACAGTGAGTTCATAATCGTGGGTTCAACTTCAAATCATGAATCAGACTTCATTTAACGATCCCACCTAAAATCTGTGATAATATAATGATTTCCTTCAGACATGACGAACGAGAACGAGCCCTAATAAATCGTTCTTCAGCACCCTGCACCTAACCTCAAAAATATTTCGTTCGTTCATTTTTGTAAACATGATAACGGTCGTTCATTTTTCGTTCCTACGTCATCATCAAGCTCCACGTTATTTTGGGACTGGAATGAGGGGAAAAGGAGGGAGGGGAAATAGATTAGAAAATGGAAGATCAGCTGATGAGAAAATTAATATGAATTATTTGAATTCGTGCTCCAATAAATTAATTCTAACTTTGAAATGAGTTTCAAATTGTGATAGTTATTACTCATTTATATCGTATGAAGTTCACATTTTAACAAAAGAGATGAGAAATGTGGCACAAAGTGAAAAAGAAAGAGTAAAATCGTATGTTTTTCATCATTCATTACTGGTGCATTTTTCAAGAACCAGTATCAGATCGACGCTTGACGACTTGAAAATCTAGACTTTTTGATATTTTTTCGAACGTTTCGAATGGTTTCGAATATCCAGATCTGAAATGGATGGTTAGTCTACCTATCAGGTTTCCAACTTAAAACTAAAAGTAAGACTCTTTCATCTTTTTTATCCCTTGAAAACGCTTTCCCCAAAAGCAGAGCAATAATGAGTATTGACTGAATTTTTAAATTCCAGCATCTCAGATTTTTCTTCTTATTCTAACCATGGGTTGTTTTTTTGCTCTTTCACAGTGAAAGTGTCAAACTTGATTAAACGAGAATTACTCCTGATATTTTTCAACCATTCATTATTCAGAAATGCTTTTTACAAACACTCCATCATCTGTCCTCCTACTTGGAACTTGAAAAATTCAGATTCTCCTTCATCCGTTCCACGTACTTATGTCAACTTCATAATTACTTCAACATAATATGAATCAAAAACTTGATGTAAGTAGATTGTACAGTCGATCAACGATTAGCTAGATCTATATAAACTCCGTTCAAGATAGTGAACAACAGCTTGAAAAGTAGAAACTGGCAACGATTTTCACTTTATTCCAAATCTTAAGTGGGAGTTATCTTATTCAACTTCCAGCGGGTGTAATTAGACGCTGAAATAGAATCCTAACAGAAGAAAAGGAGTTGATCAAAAAAAAGACATCACATTCAGAGCTACTGATTCAGAATTTCACTTTTTAGCCGACTTCAAGATTCGGAATGTTTCTATTGAATTACACAGGAGTCAATTTCTTCGAAATTATTCTTCAATAATTTCAGATTGGACTAGCTTGCCATGTATCTTACAACGTAATAGTTCAATCAAAACACAACTAGCGATAAATTATAGACAATTTTAAAACAAACCAAGAGGGAAAGATCACATTTTTCACCATCCAAGATTACTTACACAAGTCACAACAGACAGATAGAAATAGTTTTTCCGGTATTTCAGTGCTCATCGGCACGCAAAATTTGTTTCATCTTGACAGATGGATGAATAATTGAATTTTATTGTCGCAGCAAAATGTTAATCCGCGTAAGAATTTATCGAGCTTCTTTCATAAATTCTTCTGTAGCATTTTAAGAACTAAAAACCTTTCATATCTGACGAATTCCGAATTTTTTCAATGAAAATTATGCAGCTCCAATTTTGCTGATAAAAACCGTTCATGAACGGCCTTATCACTGAAAGAACGAACGAAACCGTTCGTTCTTTTCATGAACGAACGGCGCGTTCTTCTTTTGCGTTCATGCCACGAACCTCCACGAACGAACGGAAATCGTTCTTCGTTCGTCATGTCTGATTTCCTTTAATCACTTACCCCAGAAATAGTCATCTTTGCAATCCTGAAATCTCTTGGAAAAGAGCTTCTACGATTTATCTATATCATTAGGAGTAATCGATTCTGAAATTTAGTGATTTAATTTAAGTCATTTTACGAAACTATTCGAACGAGTTGGGTTAATGAGTTCATGACTTTGGTTTTGAAGTATTCTAAATGTATGTACTGTTGGATGAACTCCTTTCGATGAGATATCTATTGAGTCGAATCATTGAAAACGTTCAATATGCTATCCTCCATGTAAATCAAGTTGAAAATAAACACGATCTGATACTTTCTACCAATTTCAATCATGTAAAACCGTGGCTATTTTTAAAATTAACTGAAATAACACGATGAGGAAGCAAGAATTCTGAAATTATATAGGGTGTGTAATTTTGTGACGAGAAAAGTTTGAGCGAGAAGAGTAACTTGGGTTTTAGAGTGTGATCCAGAGTAGGAAAAATTCAATCCGATGTGTGACTTGAAATTCTCTAATTTTTTTCATTTTCAACTAGTTTGAAAGTAGGGTTTCTCATTCCTGGTACCTTTTCTTCACATTTTAATCATTTCGATTTTTATTTCTTTATTATGGCCCTAATGACGAGGATGGAAACAGTTTATTGCCCATTCTTAATGCTTTGTATCCAGCATGTAGCCTTTTCCGCTTTGTAATTCCTCAAGTGTTGACATAAATAGGTTATTTTAGCTCCAAAATCATCCAAAATATTCCGAAATCTTATTTGATTAAGAAGTCCAGCTCCTTTTATGCCAATCAACATTTGTTTAATTGTGTTGAACAAAAATAAATGATCACGTCGCTTTTAAACCAACTCGTCAGTAGAAAGAAGTGGAATGCTCGGAAGAATTCAAATTCATCTAGCATTGAAGGTCTTCGCATTTAATTAGTTTTCAACGTTCTTCATTTACATCTATACGACTCTTGTCTTCTCATAATATTTTAGCAGGCTTGATGTACTCTTTAATAGCTCAGCTAATGAATTTGATGACTTATTAGAATGATTTATTGAACCTAGTAACTCTTTCACATCGACCAGAGTAAGAAAACTGAATAAGAATTTTTGTTCACTTTGCAAGCTAGTCAACAAAACCATGTTATTGTTAATGAATCATTGACTCCGGAATGTTGGTTTTTCGTTTTGGCTAGCTATGGTCCTCGTAAGGGCAAAGGTCTAACAGATTCTGAATTTGATTTGATGGCAAGGTTCTTGAAAATATTTTTTATTGCTATCGCTAGTAGTTGATGTCCTATAATTTTTTCGATCAAGTTGAATTTCACTTGTTTTGTAAACCTTATTCATCAAAAGATTCTTATACCTGTATTAACTGTGTTTTCAGAATCGACTTTGCATCTCGTCTTGAGATTGAGAGGTGGCGTTATTGAACCTACGCTCATGAAACTTGCGCAAAAATACAACTGCGAGAAAATGATTTGTAGAAAGTGTTACGCGCGCTTGCATATCAGAGCCACCAACTGCAGAAAGAAGAAATGTGGCCACACCAACAACTTGAGACCGAAAAAGAAGCTTAAATAAACTAAATTTAAGGATAAATTGCATTCTGTTTTGATTTTGAGCAAAAAATAAAACGCTCTTTTAAAGTTTCATTTTGTTCTTTTTTTTAGTTTGGTGTGGATGGCGTAGATCATCAAAAAAAGTTACTACTGTTTGTAAAATGAAACTGAAGGCCTACGTGAAACGACAGCAAAACATGAATGTGAACTCGAATACCGTCGTAGTTTTGAGATGAGTTTCTGATTTGTCAGCAGAGATTGAATTCACCTCTGAGCAACTGACGAGGAAGAAATGGTTGAAGAAGTTGCAGATTTCGTCCTCAGTAATATCTTCACTTCATGTTACTTTGCTTCTATCGTAGTTATTGAAGTGGCTGTAAGTTAAAAAAATTCAGAAATGTTTGAGATTTTGATGCATACATTATAGTGTTATTGTGTAGAGAGTGAGGACGAATCTGTGGCAACTCTGGGTGAGATACCTGCATTCGATGAGGTGTTAGCACAAATATCTGTTTGCTTCGTTTCATTAAGGATATTATATTTTGGAGAAGTGTGCTTCATAGTGTCTTGAGGTCGGAAATTGAAACATTTTGCTCCTAGTAAATAGGCTGTTTTTCTTTTTAAAATAGAAATTTAGGGATCACTTCTGAAGAACTGATGTGTACTCTCTTTGCTCAACACTTTACTTCATGTTTACGTCAATCGTCTTTTCCTCTTTCTTTGCAATCCGAAGAAAATATTTGTAAAACAAACGAGCTGTAGTGATTACGTGGAACATGAGTTTCTTGACATTTCAATATGAGCAAAGCAAGCTAACAGGTGTAGTGTGTACCAAATATTTGAAAATTTTCTCATAGCGAGCAAATATTTCTTCAAAATTCAATGCCTTATTTTTTTTTCGCTCTTCTCGAAATTTGTCCTCTAAAAATAATACAGACATAATGAGACGTTGAAAAGGAAACATATCACATATTCGCAGCTGGCTTCGTTGCATTGTTGTACTTTACTATTCAATGAAATTCATTTGCTCAGACTGTCAAACACGACAATCTACCTAAGGAAATCATCGTTGGGTTTCTTCATCGGCTCAATAGCCAAAAATACGATTTTAATTTGTTCAAATTTGTTGAGCATTATCGTCACAATTTCATGAACTTGACTAAGTGTTGTTTTTAGTTATGTGTAGTCTGAAATAACCAACAACTATGCAAATATTTGATATTTTCTTTATATTGAATGAGTGGTTAACAGGATATTTTATTTTTACTTCATGTTTTCAAACAGCGCATTGTACTGCCCAGGAGGAAGACGATTTACTATGCGGACAGCCAGTACGATAATAAGAACTTGATATTTCCTATATTTTATTTAATTATTTTTTTTATTTGTAATATTTTTCTGTTACTTTTCATTTGGTTAGAAACTTCTTAAATCTTGATGATTAATTTACAGTTGATGAATCCCACTCGTCAGTTTCCTCCCAAAAGTCGTGCCAATGGAGTTAGAGCAACCCTGAGATACGGCAATAAGCCTTATTGGCCTATGCAGTGGTATATGGTGAATAGATAAGTACTTTTTAAAAAAGTAAATTAGAATTGATTTTTGTTGGCTTGAATTTCTTTGCTGTAAATTTTAGAATGAAGAGGTGTTTTCAGTGAAGAATCAAAATTACTCTCCATCTATGAAAATTGCTGAATTTCACAATTTTAATTCGAAAGGGGTAAATGTGGGTGTCGTGATAATTGGAAATTCTCCAGTCAACTGTGAACATAGTGAAATCACTCAGCGCTGCGTAAGAATATTTTCAAATTCGAAGCCCTGTAGCAAATAAAAACTTGTTCATCAAAATTGGTATGATTTTTTTAAAACTAGTCTCCTTTTGTCGAGTCTTTCTTTTTTAGTTAGATTTTTCTTCCATCATCACCTTATTTTTTTTTCATAATCCTGTCTTCTTTTTTCTCGAATATTTCATTGCAATTCCTTCTTTTTTATTAAATAAAATTGTAATTTCTTTTTTGACAAAAAAAAATAAAGTCTGAAATAATTTGGAAAATAGTCGAAGGTTTTCATACTTTGCCACTTTAATCATTACAAATGCGTGTCACTTTTTCAGTTTCCAAATTCGTCAGCTTATAGTTACCATGCAAAGAAGTGTATTTTCTTTGGCTGTTTCAAAGGTAAAGTTTGCATCTCAAACGCATTACCAACAGCTGTCGCTGGTATAATCGGTATGACAGACCAACTCCAGAATGGTGGAGTAGGTATTGCACCAAAATGTAAATAGGAAGTAAGTTGATAAGTTTATTTCATTCAATTTTGCTTTACTTAATCTCGGTATTAGGCACAAAAATGTAAAATAGACGAGTAAGATTCCTACTTTCTAATACAGATATTGTCATAGAACCATCTACTAGAGGCGGTTCTCCTGAATATGGTGCTGACAAAATCCTGTCGCACTCTTTCGATTCTGGGACTTACGTTTTCGTCCATGTTTGGAGTCTGTCCTCGTACGAGTATCAAAATAGAATTTTACACGCATTGGATGATATTAAAATGCTGAATTTCAATTCAAAACGGCAGGTTCTTGCTTAAAAATGGTTTTTATTTTTGAAAAAACCCATCTGAATGTCGTTGAATTTCTCTACTGAAACTTAACTTTTTTTCAAATC